TCGACGTCGCTCAAGCCTCAACCCATTTGCATCCGTAAACGGAATAATCCGCGCGCAGCGATCGCCAACCATCACCAATTAAATAACTATTTTTAAGATTACTTACTAGATCAATTATAACTATCACCGCGTAGATACCGCGCAACTGGCTCCGTGTCACAATAAAATCATGAACAAGTGCACATCCCGCGGGCTATTCCGCAATCGATGGTAGTTCACATCACGCGCGGATTATTTAAATAGTTTACTTTAATTTCGTTCCGTTTCGTTTTGTTTCCGTTCGGATACTTCATTATCTTCGTTCGGCTTGTATATCGCGTATGCGCGAACGCAATATACGTTCGAACCGGGGGCTGATCGTGTGTCGTTTCAACGAAATAATCCCGATTTCGTTAGTTGTTTCGCTGAAATCGATTCTTTTCTTCTTTTTTTTACGAAGTCCTGATGCGGTAGATCAATTTCAGCGACCGGATTTTCGAAGTCGCCGTGTCAAAATCTACGGGAAATGACGTATCACATGCTATAAAAAAGTAATCCATCTGTACATGTTACTGGATAGATCACAATTTTGCTGGAATATGTCAAGTTCGACAGAAATGTTCAGGTTTTAGAAATGTTCACGCTGCGTTTCCTTTGTGTTTCCCTTAATCCGAAACATCGCAGCATCGACGTAACAGAATCGTCGCTTTGTCTTATTCGATTAAGATTTAAATCGAGAAAGTGAAACGTGCTACCGTAGATTTCTCGAATGGAAACGGATGAAAATTCATCGTCTGAAAGTGGACGCTGCAGCATGCGATCCCGACCTCGTGTTTTGCCAGTCGAACGACAACGACGCGCCCGTCAGCAGTAAATTTCTCCCGAAAAATTGCCCGGTAATAACACAGCATCGCGCGGAATGACAAGCGATCCCAGAGCTCGAGGAAACCGTGACGAAGAAGCGATCGTGCCCGAAGCACCGGAATCTGCAAACGGATCACGGTAATTGCTTATTGTTAGCGGTACTGGATGACATGCTTGGACCAGGTTGCTCCCTCGTGTGCACGGGTTTTACGATCTATTGTCGGCCCTTTACGGGTTTATGGGCGCAAGACGCGTCGGTAATAGTTGCATGCGAATTAGAACCGAGTAATACCCTAAGTGACCGAATACTAATCGGGTTAATGGCGAGGTGATTACCGCGGCGCGGCGCGGCGCCGCGGCAGCGGATCTTGGCGAAGAGTTTGCGCGGTCGTCCGTTCGGGAATATTCACTCCGAAGATTGATCCGTTGCTGCATTTAATTATACGATCGAGACGGAGACCGGGAAATAGATAGAAAGTAGAGTTTCCGAATGTGATTTATGGATCGCGGATCGTTCCGACGAAATCGGCGCTGTTACTTCGATATGGAAACATTCTCTCCGGTGTGTGTACGAAGGTAATTCTTCATTTATTTGATGCTTTATTGAACAGTCTACGGAAACAGGAATTTGCATAAAGATCGACGGTGTAACGACGATTGAGAGACACACTTTTCTTGTTCTTCGGATTGGATCGCAGGAAAATAAATGTTGTCGCAGAGAAAAATGTGACTGACTTCTTCTGTGTACATGTATTTTACAATGCTGAGTTTACGGTTAGTAATAAATGAATGTTTCATGTTTTCTGAATTTTCCCCAACAGATATAATTTGAAGTCATTCGATTTGATCGATTTACGTGTTGGAGTTACTTTAAAACGATTTATCCGAGTAAGAATTCATTCGAATCAAATTTTGGTCGAATAAGGATTTATTCGTTTAGGATTCGAATAAAAATGATAGGGAATACAGTGCTTTTTTCATAGTTTATTGATTTATTTCTTCCATATTCCATTTTTGAGTAGATTGATCGTTGACGTATATCTAAATATGTTCTTTTATAACCTTATAATAGAAATTATTATAATATTATTAATATTATATTATTATTATTATTATTATTATTATTATTATTATTATTATTATCATACATATTCTTAAGAAAACAAGAACAGTCTACAATTGTACAAATTATACATTATTCGAATAATTTTACAATCTCTATTCGATTTCTTTATTCGAATAAATAGATAGAATAATTTATGACAAACGATGAATAATGGTTATTCGAATGAAATATTCGACCCAAAAGAATTCATTGCAAAAAATGATTCGACATTAAGTTTCGTTTTCGAACAATAAATTGACAGCCTGGTCAAGCAAGGCTGTCGCAGGTTTAGTCAAGGCCTACGATAATTAACTTAGCTGGACGTGGCTTATTAGCTCCTACCATTTAGCGAGAATTTTTAACGAATATTACAAGAAAACGGAGGTGTAAACGGCAACACGACAAATTGATGAACCCGCAGCTGTTAATAATTGCAACTTTGACGTCCTGCCTGGATTCTTAAAAATGGGACAGCTGCTGTCCGTTCGCATATATCAGCCATATTGTGAAACGCATTGCGGGTACCACGATGAGTTAAATTTTTTTCCCCCTGGCCACGGTTGTATCGGGCACGTTTCGTTTCTCATTAATCGGGAGTTATTAAAAATCCCGAGATTACGAACTAACGTTCCGTTCCGTTCCGTTCCTGCGTACAGAACGCCTCCTATCTAAATTTATCTCCGCGCCGGAAGAATAATATATATTTAGCTTGAGACGCGAATGTTTTATCTCGGGCACTGTGTCCAAATAAAATTGAATTATGGATACGCATCGGGTAATTAATACTGTTTATTATTTCTCATGATGATATTTAATCGACGTTGAACTTGCGGCTGCGACCCTTCGTCGATGGCTTAACAAACGTTGCCTGGCCGGTTGTTATTATATTGATATTAGTGTCGTATCGTTTCCCGAGCTGTTAATTAAATTTTTAACGATACGTCGCTCGCGAGTCGTATTATTGGAACCTTACACGGCGCGTAATTATTCGAATTTCTTATGCATTGGGCTCAGCGATAAATAACCGTACGAGCATCGAAAAATTATGGTGATTGAATTTGGTCGAATTGCGTACGATTTCTACTATGATACACGTTCGAATAAAAAAAGTTCATCGAAAAGATTCCATAGTTTCGCTGACTGTGAAAGACGAAACCAGAAAATCAGTCGTTTTGGCTGATTTGCTAGTTCGAACGTTGACAATAATAATTGATACGACTGAATAGAATATCTAAATGAAGGTGTGAATTTGACGAGAGTTGGAACGATTACGAAATATTTTTATTCTCCATTATTATCAAATATTTTGCACCAGGACAGAGAAACGCATATAAATTGGTTATGAATTAAAGTCTAGTTTAGTTGTTCCATCTTCGTGGAACAGAAAAAACTGGCGCTAATTGACAACGATTCGTAACCGAGGGAAGACAGAGCCAATCTTTCCAATGCGAAAACTGAAATAATTTTCGAAATTACAGGACGTTAATCCTCTTATGTTCCGACGAATGCTCTGAATTACTCGGAAATTATTCAAACGCGGCGGGGCAGCCGAGCCACGGCGATCATCATCATCAGGCTTCCAACGAAAATGAAGTAGTGCCGAGGCGGATTCCATTCCCGTGTAAGGGAACGCGTTTCCTGATAAAGTAATTTACACCCTGCAGACGTTGGAAAAAGCTTCGTGGGAAGTTCCATCAAACTCGGCTAGTTTCACTGAAAAATGACCAGCTGAACGGCCGGCAATCTGATCTCTCCCCCGATTCGATCTCGTTTCGCCCGGCGCGAGCAAAAAGTAAACAAGAAAAGCTTGAACGAAGAAAATCGTAGGAGCACGTGACGTGACGAAGGTATTACAAGGGTTGGTGTGTGGGTCTATTGATCTGTGGCTCGCGTGTGAACAGCGCCGCGCACCGGCCTCCAGCCGCAACTAATGTCTTCATCCTTTTCAACCATCTTTTCAACCCCTTTTACCGCTTTCCACCGGCTCTTTCCAGCTCGCGGTGCCCGCGCTCGACCCCCGCGCGGAAATTCACGCCGCGCCGCTCCGCTCCGGCTCTAAATCGTGCTTCACGCCACGAGCGTTCACGCGAGCCGCGGGGTAAAGTGTTGAAACTGTTCATGAATCAAGACACTCCGGGGGGTCGTTGGTCCTTACGCGTGGGGTAGCTAGTTCCTTCGTGTAGTCCCGATATTTAAACGCCGCCGCCCCTACCAACGCTTTTAATTATTCGACACGACGCACGGCGTTCGATCCGCGGGACAATAGCCCAAAATTCGAACCACGAGATATGAAAACTCTTGCCTAACGAAATATTTCATTTTTATATTACATAATATATATTTCATTTTTATATTACATAATATGTATTTCATAATATATATTTCATAACATATATATCATAATATATATTTCATAATATATATATTTCATAACATATATATCATAATATATATTTCATAATATATATAATTCATAACATATATATCATAATATATATTTCATAACATATATTTCATAATATATATTTCATAATATATATATTTCATAACATATATATCATAATATATATTTCATAACATATATATCATAATATATATTTCATAACATATATATCATAATATATATTTCATAATATATATTTTATAATTTCATTTTTATATCTAAATAAAAATTGTATTATCGTTATTAGACGTCATTGTATACACATCATTATTAACTATATTATGAATGCGACAGCTTCTACAACGCAGTTATCTTTTTAAGTATCGTAAAAACTGAAGTCTTCGCTCGATAATTAGAAGATTAACCAATTCCCGGTATTCCTTCTAAGATTTCTAATATCCAATGTGAAAATATAGTTCTGAAATATACGTAGCTATATTTTAAAATACTGCTCGAGTAATAGGATTATTCTGAATCTATGATTTTCAATAAATAATTAAAACGTGTGAAGATATTTATCTTTGAAAGATTTGGAGCTTCGGCTCATAACAAACTGTAGTTCGCATAATTGCGAAAGCTGATGAAAATATCTTCTTCGGTCGGTTGCAGGTGTGGTTCCAGAATAGAAGGGCAAAGTGGAGGAAGAAGGAGCACACGAAAAAGGGTCCAGGAAGGCCGGCGCACAACGCTCATCCTCAGAGTTGCAGCGGCGAACCGATTCCGCCGGAAGAACTGAGAAGAAAGGAGCGAGAAAGGCGACAGAAGAAATTGTTGAAGGCTCTGGAACGACAGCAGAGGAAGCTGGCATCGAAGGTACAATTTGGAACTCTGTACGGGGACGGAAACATCAAATTTCATTCACGATTTCTACGATTTTTGTCACGTTGCTTTTTTCTACGTTGCTTACCACTTCTTTGTTCTCAATCATTTTCCCAATCGAACGAAACAATATCAATATAACAATATTTTAGTATGATTTTATTTACGTTTATTCCTAGATTACGATAACTACGATAATTACGATAAGAAGCCTCAAGTTTTGTTTCGATCAGAAGAAATGAATATATGAATATGAGAAATTTCATATATGATTGGATTGAGAATCATAATAGCGTGAGTCACATTTTCCTCATTGTGAGGAATAGGGAGTGTTATTATTTGCTAGCTTGTGTATTGTTTACTGGCCGAATTTATTAAGATAGCTTGGACATAAGTTACTTTTGACATTTTGGCATCTACAGATCACATTTTCAGACGTAATTTAAAATTTCCAAAAATATCACTTACATCACCATGATTTCAACTGACTCATTCAATAGATTACACATGAAACCTTCATCATCCTTCTAATTCATACACTACAAGGATTTAGACGCTACCAACTGCTTCCATCGAATCAATAAGACCCAGGCAAATGCTCTAAACCTCTCCACCCATCGCTCAAAATCGCCAACGATCATCCAACCGCCAAACCGAGGATCCCCGAACCCATCCAACGAATCCCACCCAGCGTGAATGAGCAGATCGTAGACCATGCTGTCGTGATTCCAGGGCATCACGGTGGACCTGTCAACGCTGAAGGCCGAGTGGGAGTCCCGCAGTGCAGCCGCCCCGGCCGGCAACTTGCTGAACGGCGCGTTGAGCAATTCGTTCAATCACCTGACGAACAACAACGAGAGCAGCAGCGTGTCAGGTTCCGGGAACGACGCGAACGAGGAGATCGACGTGGTCGGCGGCTTGGATTCGTGCAGCGAGAGCGGAAGCGAGCGGGTTGACTCCGCGGCGGACGGTTCGGTGGACGGGGAGTGTCACCCACGGCTGTCCGGCAACTCGGGCGACCCGGCGAACCCGCGGAGAACCGTGAACCAAATCGCCGGCAACCTGCAGAACACGAACTCGAGCCTGAGCCTGGACCACCTGAACCACCAGCAGGGCATCCACCATTGGGGCCTGAGCCTGCTGGAGAGAAGACGGGAGCTGGTGAGCATGAACAACGCGGGCGGAGCTCGCCAGGCAACGAACAACGCCGGCAACCCGGAGAGGACGTCGGCCAGGCAGCAGCAGATCAGCGAGGAGGACGTGCAGAGCAGTAGCATAGATCTGTCCGTGAAGGGCAGGGAGGAGAGGAAGAGGCTGAACCCGTTCTCGATCGACAGCCTCCTGGGCAACAACCGAACCAGCACGCCTGGCCTCCACGAGTACAGGGCCTCGACGCCCACGCTGTCGAACGGCAGGGAGTCGAGCAGCCCCACGTCGCCGATCTCGGTGCCCACTTCGCCCTCCACGACGTAGTGACTCTAGAAACCGACACCGAGGCGTTTGCGGACTAGTTTGAACGCTTCCCGGGCCAGGAAAAAAGAAACAACTGGCCCGGGACAGTTTGGTTCGATCGACAACGAAGTGATGGGCCAGTCACGAACACTATCGAGAACAACGAGACGAGCGTTGAGGTCGAGAGAAGGAGGCGACAGTTTTTAGAGTAGCATCGTAGTAGTTGGCAGAAGGGATCAGAGAGGTCTTTAGGTAATTTCGAGGAAGACTTTAGGTACTAATTGCGGCCGGCTCTTAGCCGGGTTGGCACACCGCGGGGGTTGCTGGCCGGGAGTCGGGATCTGATTCCTTCGGGGTCATCCGTACGACTGATGAACGATCGCGCGAGGCGGAGAACGAGACGGGACGAGACGAGACAAGATGTGCTGACCGATCGAAGGGAGGGCTTATATCAGTTTCGACATATCTGCATCGAGTGCGTGAGCGATGATGTGTGTTGTTGTCCTGCGATCCCATTCTTCTGTCCCGCTAGAAACGAGAATGTGCAATAAAACACGGACGGCTCTCTTTTTCTTTTCTTCTTCTTCTTCCTCTTCTTCTTCTTCTTCCTTTCTTTCTTTCTTTTTTTTTTATTTGTTCTGACACGAGGAACGATTGGATGCGGCTGCGTGTGGACGGACGTGTGCGTGCGATAGAGGACCGTGTGTACGTGTATTTAATGTAAATAGCTCGGAGTATGAACGAGACTCGTTTTATTTAATTGTACCGTAGCCGATTATCCCAGTACGTCGAGACGCGGATATTATTTAAAAAAGCAATAGCAGATTTCGCCTGGCACCAACCAGTGTATATATATATAGAGAGAGGGAGAGTAAACAGGTTGATCTAGCAAGGAAGCTGAGACGCGAAGCGGTACGCAAAACCCTGGAACCAGGATCTCCCCGTTTTCCGTTCATTCGCAACGGACGAGACTGACGGCCGACATATGTGAGACACGGGGGAGAGGGGATGTTACGAGATGCCATAAAATCTGGGATGCGAGACAGTATCTACCGTATATTCATTTCAAATATATTAATTTATTCTCAAGACTATCTCCGGTGTTTTCACGTACTTCTGCCCCGTCCCCCCGATCCTTGTCCGTTTCCTTTTTTCGAACGAGGCGTAAAAGGTTCGCTGGGAAAGCAGAGTGTAGCATCATTTCGTTACTTGGCAGTATTCGTTTTACATCTGCCTAGGAAAAATGCTTTGACATTTATCGTTGTCGTACGAATATTTGTTTTTATCATGGTACAGTACATCCTCGATCGTTCGGACCAGTCTGGGAGAGTTGAATGTCAAGGGAAGTGCAAGGCTGTCGGACATTTTTATTGATCTGCACAGACAATTTAGTTTCTGTGCGTCGTTTTGGATTAGACAATTGAGACATTTGTCGCTCGGATAATCGAGGATTTACCGTAATATATCGAAGTTTGTTTATGGGCATATTTTTAAAATTCTAGTGTTGCGTTTTTCCAGATGGGACATTGGGATTTCACGATTTTTAGTATTACAGTTTTTATCGTACAGGTAAGTGCTTATTTTACGTATTACGAACAATGGATTTGAAGTTGCTAGAAATATGTGAACGCACTTTCTCAAAATTTTCGGTTACTAGTGAGTAAATTGCTGATTTTTATGCAAAAGAAACATTGCTGCAAAAGCTAAATAGAATGTAATAATTATTTAACAATAATTCATTTACATTTCAAAGCTCTTTTAATATATTTACTATTTCAAATTGCAATGATTCAATTTTGCCATAAATACATAAAATCCGAAATTATACTGATGAGTTTTAGAAATTAAAAAGAAATAGTTACGTAGTTAGAGATGCTTTAGTGAAACAATTTAGCCAAATTGAAAAAGTTTCAGTTTCCAAGTTCATGTTCATTTAGTACTGTAACACATGAATAAGTTGACATTATATTTCCAATTACATTTCCAATGAATCAATGGCTGTCAGACTTACTTTTACATAAGAATTATTTTCAAAAAGCTTCCAAGGCATCACTGTTCTTTATTGATATAAACAATTATCCAGGTAACACAGTTTTATAACGAATGAATAAAAAAGACTTTCAAATCAATTTCACGGTGACCGGCGCCATCTTGACACCTTCTCATCAGCCAGCTATACAGTCCCCTCTCTCATAAACTGACTGATTAATAATGCAAGCAATGTATTTCATCATATTATTCAATTATCAAAACTTTGTACATATTCGAATAAAATCTTACTCGAATGAATTCTTATTCAAACGAATTGTTATATTTAGGACGAATGTATTTTTATTCGATAGTGTGGAATAAAATTTGATCCGTTAGTCTTAATTTATCGTCCGTCATCCGATTAAAATTTTGCCCAACTATGAATCGAACTTCGACGTAACTCACAAATTATTAAAACAATATAACAGAAACATGAGAGTTAATTTATTGGTTCATCGCGTACCATAATGTTGCATTCGCAATAAAATGTACACTCGCGTAACGCGTCCGCGTCGCGCCGAAGGAACGCGAGGGCATCGAACGCGGCGCAATAAATATTTGCGCGGCTCGGGATCAAACAGGGCATCCGATCGACGGTTCTATACCCATAAAGATTTAAATAGTCCCCGACACGCGCGGTTAATTACGCATTTATCGCCTTCAGCGCGTAAGTTGGCCGTGATTTATAGAGCCGCGATCGCGACCGCGGTTTGTCTCCGCCATGACTGATCTCTCGATGGCTCACCCACGTCCGGGGCCTATAGATCCTCTCGTGAAAGCGTATTTATTTTCGAATCCGCCCACGACTCGTCTGATCAGGGCCCTTTGTTCGATTAACGCCGAATCTCCCGCGGATCATCTCCTCGCGTAGGAACTAATAGCACTGAAATTGGCACCTCCGATCGCGTGGCCGATGTCTCCACGCCACTTTCACTTCGAAACAGTATCTTCCCGCTAACACGTAATTTGATTAATAAGGTAATTGAGCAATTACCCTGCCGAGAGAGGCCTACGAAAGATTTGTCAACGTACTTAACGCACGCGATCCCACGCGAGAGATCGTTTTACTCGCGGTCCAAGCGTTATGTGGATTTTCAAATTCATACGGTTGAAATCGTGTTACGTGCTTCGGGGAGACAACTTTCACTTGGAAATGCATATTATTAAATGCATAAAATTAGTGGACGCTGCTGTTTCGTTTAGCAGCAGGAAATTATGCGGCCGGAGCGCACGTGTTAGGAGCTTACGGTTCTGCGCGGGATCTCTTTCGAACATTTCATTGTAATGTTAATAGATTATTATGGCGCGGAATTGCGTTCGTTTGCCTCGAATGTTCGTTAATCCGTTAAACGAATACGATGATACGTTGGAATTGGTGTAATATGCTTTTTATGGGCGAGCACGTACGAAAATAGAGCCATCGAGCCGTTTGATAATGCCAATTAGCCGCGATCGTTAAGCCAGACACTGATAAATAGAAAATGGATCTAATTTTCTAAATTGTATCATGTTCGGCCTAAAATTTACCGATGTAAAACGAAAGTTCGATATCGTCGGACCGAAAACGCCCGGGACCAAGTGGAATGAAACCGTACGGATACGAACCGCACAATTAATTTACCTTGAATCGAGGCTGCCGGTATGAATTATACCATTTTGCTGTATTTTATAAGATGCAGGAGAAATGACGAACAAAAGAGAACCGTGAAAGCAAACTAGAAAGCCAGAACTTTTCTCTAGTCTGATTAGTTGGTCGTCGCGAATAACATTGTCGTTTGGGGTAATATTGGAAGTAGACTGCACGGTTCGCAAGATTTTTATTAACACGGGAACAATACGAACGGATCCACCGATCGAATCGGATCTGGTTCTCGCTTCGAGCAATGCCGTGCATCCCCGAACGATTTCTTCACTCGCGAACGAATTTCGCGTGAGCGAACGAACAATATCGGCGATCGAAGGACAAACAACAGATAGAAGAAAGAGAAATGTTTAAGAATCTTCCAACATCAAATTAAATTTTCATCTGAAATGCAGGAATATTAAAAGAATGATTATTTTTAAATTTACGATTTCCTGACTGTGAAGTTGAAGCAACCTTTCGACAATATTCGAGCACGAAATCTGAGGAGAAAATCGTGAAACTTTGACTGCTTCATATAATCATAAATAAATTTTACGTAGAAAGTCCACGAATGTCGTCACAATATCAGTTTTTTTGATCGGAGGATGAATTTGTATTATCGGAGGAATATTAAAAGAATAATTTTTCGTGTAGCTAGTCATTCTTTTAGCGATGTTAACGCCGGTTTTCAAGCATGATCTGTGAAGATAGGATCGCAAGAAATAGTTAATATTCAAGGTAACGAGTCCGGAAGTCCGCGAAATCGTAGAAATTCACGGAACTAGAAGTACAATAGAGTCGTTGGTGTTCTCATACAACAAATATTCGCGATGCGTGCGAATTCGCGTTATAAATATGCATGGGAAATGATACATATATCAGATTCCCGTGGATATATATCAAATTTACATAGAAAGCGCGATCTGTTAATTTTATATATGGCGCTCAACGTCGGATTACTCTCGTTATACATTTTTCTCGCGAATTTTTTTCGCGGGCGTTGTTTTTGCATAACAGCGGTCGAAATCCGGCGTTAAACTTTCATGGGACGCGACGCCATTATCGTCCGCCAGAAAACGGATATTTATTTTAACGCTTCTGTCCGCGGTGTCGATTATAACAGCCAGATTTTTTAATGAATATTTATGAATTTAATTTGCAGTTTTCGAATTGAAGTAATCGCGGCCGCCGCGGCCGCATCGCCGCCGCCGCAGCCGCGGCCGCAGCCGTCGCCGTCGCCGCCGAAAAATGAAATTAATAACGGCCGTGTCACGTGAAAAATAAACGAACGGCGATTGTTGCGTTTGGAAATTAATGGTCAGTGAATTTTAATGCCCTAAATTCGTCGGGCGACTGTTCATCACCCGCGCCCCGGCCGGCGTTTGACAGTATTTATTAAAAATGAAAACGCGATTAATATCCTATTTGCATGTAATACTATTTTTCCGCGCGGAATAATTTCGGACACTCCGGCCGCACTCGGGGCTCATCAAACGCGATAAAAAGGGGAACGATAAATCACACCGAGGTGTGCCGCACTGACAGCTGTAACAAACAGTTCGTTAATTGTTTCGCGGTCAGCGAACGGAAACGAATGGACTTTCTTCCAAAACTCCCGCGAACAACGAGCATCCGTGTTACCGCGTTAACGACAGCTTCTGCCATTAAACATTTCATAATTTCGTTCGTTACAATCTCCCGAATGCCGGCATAGTATGTACTTACAATGTTTCCATCAGTCTCGCTCCGACTATTGTTTGACTAATTACTCGAAAATCGGTGAACATCGGCGAGCATTTCTTTTTTTAGCCGAACAATCGCATGAGTCCGATGCATTACGCGCTCTCTGCTCTGTTAATCCAGCACTTTGCAATGATTTCAATTAGCCACCGTAGCTGTCGATATTTCATACGGAATATTGTATCGTCGTATTACCATTCTATTCCCGGCGGCGTTAGCAAAATTGGTAATTAGCCTGTAACGCTGGCGATTCGAAATTAACTTTTAGTTAAGCGCGAGGTAATTGCTAATTAGCAATAACGTACCGTGTTTCGTTGTTAAACCTTCCGAGTTTTAGCCGGCGAAAGATTCCCGGACGTTTAATTGATAGTTCAATTGATTGTTCCTCTTGTGTCGGCTCGCCGAATAATTCAACCTCGAACGCGAGATTGACACGCGGATTAGCAAAGCGCTTCAAAATGGCGAATTCATGTGGAAAGAAGCAATTGAAGCACGTTGTCAGAAATTCGTACCATTTCTTCGAGGTTTTGATGAATTTTCTGAAGCTGCTGTTGCTTCTCTTTTTGGTAAATGAGTGACATTTAAATAGTCGTGTGAATCAATACACGCGAAGAAGTGATGATTAAAGCGATACGCCTTACTATTTTTTATTACTATTCATGCTGTCGAAGCAAATTAATTGTAACTAAACTATTGGCG